AAAATTAATTTTTTTTTTTTTTTTTTTTTTGTTAAACAAAAACAAAAAATTAAAAAGAATATATTATTATATTTAAAAATATATAAAAAAAAAAAAAAAAAAAATGAAAAAAATTAAAATAACTGTATTTCTTTTTTTTGTTTTTCTAGATAGTTGATTCACTTCTTAAATATTCTCCAACATCGCCCTTAAAAATAAAAATAAATATATAAATTTATAAATAAATATAAATTATAATTAAATGATTATATTTAGTATATATAGGAAATATATAAAGGAAAATACAATGATGAAAAAAATAAAAATAAAAAAATACTTGATGAATTAGTATAGTATCAGTAACATTTAAAATTTTTATTTCTTGTGTATTTCTAGTTGATATTCCAAATCCAATTGGGTTATCATTTCCCGATAAAACTATTATTCCATCTCCTTTTTTTATATTATCACTTACTTTTAATAAATGACTCTACAAAAATTAAAGTAAAACATATATATATATACTATCTAAAAAATATATATATAATTTTTTTTTTTTTTATAACTTTCAAAACATTATTTCCAAATAGAAAATTCTTTTCTCCTGATTCTTTTAGCCAAATTTTATGAATACAAAATTCATTTAAAAAAGATATAGAAGTAATTTTTATAAAAAAGTTATTTGCTTTCGTAAATTTTCCTAAACATATTCCTAAGGATATCTGAAAGAAGAAAAAAAAAAAATATTTAACAAAATATTTTTATGAAAATTTTACATTTTCAAATTATACAATATATTTATAAAAAAAAAAAAAAGTGATATTTTATTACTAATGATTTTTTATTTATAGATTCTGCTTGTTTAGCAACATCAGCTCTGAAAACAATTATAAAAATTGAAATATATGTTAAAAATATTTTTTTTTTTTTTTTTTTTTTTTTCTAAATGTATTAAAAATAAAATAACCTAACAAAATATACATTTGACTTATGCAATCTAAAAACGTATTCTTCATTATTATAAGACAACATACTTAATAAATTATTCCCTACACTTTAAAAAAAATAAAAATCCATTAATTATAATATTTTATATTTTCTTTTTAACATATATATATATAGATAATGAAAAACAAGTTATATTTTAAACATTTCATCTTACAATTTAGCAAGTTTTTTGAAAACTATCATAGTTTCTTGATCATTTAATGGCCTCATTTTTATCAAATTTACTTATATATTAATTATAAAATAAATAATTTTTGTTATAATGACATATTAAAAAAAAAAAAAAGAAAACATAAAAGAAAAGAAAAATATAATTTTATTATTATTATTTTTTTTTTTTTTTTTTTATATATGGAATTTAAATTATTATTTATGACTAATCATAAATTATATATTAAAAATATATTTCATATTTAATATAAAAAAGTGAATTTAAATCATATTAATATAATTTTTTTTTTTTAAATATAATTTACTCAAATATAAAAAATTAATTAATTGTATAAATTTAAAATATGTAACTTTGCTTTTATTTTATACATAATATGTTGAATGTAGAATTTATTTTTTTTTTTTTTTTTTTTTTTTTTTTTTCAAATGGATGTAAAATTTAAAATATTATAAAGAATTCGTATTTTTAAAAGTATCAAATATAATGTAGAACATATCTCTAAATGTTTAAATTCATTTGAAATAAAGAAAAATATAGAGTTTTACATGTTAACTATAAAAAATGAATAATCTTAGTATTTATATATATTTTGAAAAATATAATAAAAATGTAGATATAAAATTTTATTTTATATGAATATTTGTTTTTTCTAATTTTTTTATTCATTAATAGAAAATATTATAAAATGTATTATAGAATTATAAAATGATTTGTTATTTCCCTTTTTAATTTTTTTAATATTTCAAAGTTAAAAAAAAAAAAAAAAAACATTCCCTCATTTTTACAATGTTTTGCCACTTTTTAAACCATAATGATAAAAATAAAACTAATTCGTTTATATAGAAATTCTAAATTAAATAGGAGAAAAAAAATGGAAAGATGAAATTATGTGATATTATTTAAGTTCTTACAAAAAGAAGAAAAAAATGTATGTTATCATTGGAAGATGGTTTAATAATTTAAATATTAATATATAAATATTTCATATATTATCCATTTTTATTATGAATATAAAATATAATTTATTTGTAATAACTTCAAATTATCGAAAATAATATTTTTCTAAAATTTAGTGCAGTATCTCCACTATTTTAGACATTCTATTCTATAATTAAGAAAAAAAAAAAAAAAAAAAAAAAAAAAATCTTTTTTTTATCATATATATATAAAATATTAATAAAATAATATTCACTTATAGAGATAATGAAGTAGGAATAATTAAAATATAATAATTATACTAGCTTGCTATAATTTTTTTTTTTTTTTATATATACCATTTATGAAATATTAATTTTTATAGACAAATAAAATTAATAAGGAAAATAAAAGATAAATGTAATAAGTGATCTAATAGAAAAAATAAATTAAAAAAGTTAATATTTTTAAGTTTTATAAAATTTTAATAAAAATATAGGTATAAAAATAAAAAATACATGTAAATAAATTAATAAAAGAAAAAATATTTGAAAATATATCTTCATATATAAGTAATATGTATATTTTATTAAAAAAAAAATGGAGGATTATGAGAAACTATTTGAAGATATGAAATTAGAAGAGGACAATGCATATAATATAATAAAAAAAAGCGAAGAAAAAAAAATAAAAAGAATATTATACAAATCAAAACATGATCCCAATGTACTACCAAGTTATTCAACTTTTAATTTAAAAGGAAAACGATACAATATTTCTAATGTAACTGGAATGCTAATAAAAAAAGAAGAAAAACAAAAGAGCATAACAGAATTAAAAAATAGTTATAATAAAAAAATTCTAAAAAAAGGAGAAAAAAATCAAATGATACCTTCATTAAATGAAATTAAAAAAGTAAACCCAGCAATACTTACTGTTAAGAAGAAGAAAAAAAAATTTAAAGATCCATTACCAGATAGAAATGATAATCCATTATTGAATTTACGGGATGAAGAAATCGATTATATATATGATAACGCTGTTGAAGTAATTCACACAAAACCGGTAGAAAAAAAAAAAAGGCAAGGAAAAATTCTTTTAGATGAAAATCCATTAGACAAGAAAGATTATGGGAAAATTAGTCCTTATCTTATTAAGATAAAAAATGAATTAAAAGAAAAAGAAAATTTGAAAAAACAAGATATCATAGATGAAGAAAAAACTGCTAAAGAAATAGAAGAAAAAAGGAATATTTTATTAATGGAACTTAAAAATAAATATAATGAAATTAATAAGGAATATCTAAAAATATCTCATGTTGTTGATGTCAATTCTGTGAGAAAATTAAAAAAAAAAGAAAATTATGAAAAGCAATTAAATCAATTAGAAAAAGATATACAAAAATTAGAAACATAAATTTATTAAATGGAATATAAATTTTGTTTTATTTTTTTCATATATAAATTATTTTTTTAAAATATATAGTCTTCCTGTTGTTAATTTATAAAAACAAACAAAAAAAAAAGAAAAAAAAAAAAAATTTTTATTTTTTTTATTATTCAACATATTTACAATATTTTACATTGAAAGAAGAGTATATTTTTTTTTTATTAATTTCTTGTCTTATAAAAGATTTAGTAATAAGAGTGAAAAAAAAAGAAATACTTAGCAAAGAAAAATTTTATTTTCATAAGTATTTAAATAATTATAACAAAAAGAAAATAAAGAAAAATTAAATAAAAAAATTATTGTAACAAAAATTATATTTAATAAAACAAATTAAAAAAAAATTTTTTTTTTTTTTTTAATTTTAAATTATTAATATAGGACCATTTATTCCAAATGATTTTTTTATTTTATTTTTACTTTCATTTTCATCTAAAAATAAAAAACAGTTTATCAATCCTTGTTATTATTTTAAATAATTGATAAAAAAATAAAACATATATATATGTTGATGTAAATTCATACCTAATTTAGTATTTTCTAAAAATGGAGGAGTTTTAATTTCTTTATCAAGTATAGTTTCCGTAGATACTTTTTCATTCTAATTAAAAAAAAAATATAAAATTCTGATATAATTAAATATCTTAAAAATTGTGAACAAAAATATAATTAAGAAGTAATTTTATTGTAGTATTTCTCAAATTTTTAAATATATTTCTTTTTAAACTACCACATTATCTTCATCTGTTAATAAAAAAAAAAAAAAATGCTTTTTTTCTTATATTTATATTTTTATTAAAATAAGAAAATAAAAATATACCTAAAACATAGAACTCTTTATAATATTTTCTGAGAATCCTAGAACCTTCTTTTTGAATTTCTTAAAGATAAATAAAAAAAAGAGAATTCATGTATATAAATAAAAGAGAATAAAATTTTATCAAATTTTTTTAATAATCATTTTTATATAATCATTTAATTTTTTTTTTTTTTTTTTTTGTTGTAATTTTATGTTTCATATAAACCTGATGCTATGAAAATTTTTAGTTTTTCTTTTAATTTTATTAATTCTTTTGCAGATACCTTCCATCTAAATAAGTAATATTTTTTTTTTTTTTATTTCTGTTATTAGTTTTCTTATTTCATTTAGAATTATAGTATTTTATATAAATATAATTTTTATAAAGAAATATTTTATAATTTATTTAATTTAACACTTATATTTATATTTCTTCTCATTATTATTAAATTATAAGACTTTATTGAGTATTTATGAATTTATATCCTCTTTTTTAGTTTTATAAAATTCGAAATATGTTTAATTATAACCTTTGCAAAGGGATCATTTCATAATTAACTAAAGGAATATCATTGATTTTTTCTGGGTTAACTATGTTTTTAAAAAAAAAAAAACAAAAAAAAAAGACAATTTGTTTCATTATTTTTTTACTTTAGGAGATAAAGAATTTAAATATTAATAAAAGGTTTAAATTATAGGAAATTATATACATTAAAAGAAAAATATAAAAATATTCTAAAATTTAGATATTACTGTAGCTTAATTAAGCTAAAATGTTATTTGATATATTTAACTTTGAAATATATTCTTTAAAATATATATATAATATATATATGTTTTTTTTTTTTTTTTTTTAAATATATTAAGTATAATTATTTCAATATCAGGTGTGTATATACACATTTATATTATTTCAAAATAATGAAAATTTATTAAAATTTTAATTTTTTTTTTTTTTTTCTTTACTTATTTTTACAACATCATTATTGTAGCCTATTATCTAATAAAGTTATTCATTTCAATAAATAATTTTTTTTATTGTTATCATAATTAAAATATAAAATATAGAAATCATCTATAATTTATTAATAATTTAATTATTTATTTAGAAGAAAGCATTTATATATAATAAATTTTTTTCATTGTTATTTTTTTTTTTTTTTATAAATTGTAAGATTATTTCATAAAATATTTATAAAGTTTATTTAAAGAATTCAAAGAAAAAAAAAAAAAAGAAATATAAAATATTATAATTTTAATTAAATTTTACTATTATATTTTTAACAAAAAAAAAAAAAAAAAATATATATATATTTTAATGAATTTTTAAATTATATATTTATTAAATGTCTTTTTTTTTTAGCTTTAATTATATAAAAGATTTTATTCGATCATAAAGTAAAAAGGTTATTTTAGAAATATAAATAATCTTTTATAGATAAAAAGAAAATAAAAATTTTCTTTATTTTTAAAATATCTTAACACATTTTTAAAATTTCTTGTAATTAAAATAATTTACTAACTATTTGATGACATGTGAATTCCTCAATGAAAAAATTAAAAAGATTAGTTTATTTCTTATAATTTACAGGGAATTTTTTTTCTTGTTATTTTGAATTATAATTTTTTTTAACATAAAAAAAAAGTAAGATAAAATATTATTGAACTGCAACAATATATAAATAATTTATCTATAAATAAAAAAATTTTTACAACTATTTTTATATTTATATATTATTATCATTCTAACATAATATATAACTTATAAAAATCATTTTCTTATTTTTATAAAAAGTTAAATACACTCATATGTGCAGATATATGTATAAATTACAGATTCAAGCTTTTATTCTTTTTTATTAAAAATAAGATATATAAAAATATATATATTATATAAATTTTTGTCTCCATTTGTCATAGTCTTATAACTTAAATTTATCATTTAAAATCAAATTTAACTATGCACACAATTCTTACATACACATGGAAAATATTTAATATATTTTTTGTAACCAGTTAATGAGAACACATGCATTATTTTTTATTCTATTTGTATCTTCAAATAGATTGTTTCTATAATGAATAGCATTTTTTTTATGTTATAATTTTAACTTGATATAAAATTATTACATAATATTGTTAATTGATTTTTCTTTTTTTTTTTTTTTTCCATTTTTTTTTTTTCAAATTTTATTATGACTTATATAAATTATAATAAATAAACATTTTGAAATGTATTTAATATATAATCCCCACTTATATTTTTAATTTTTTTTTTTTTTTTTGTTTATTCTTTTAATATTTTTAAATTTTATATAAAAATATATATAAAAAATTGTATCTTTAAATAAAAAAAAAAAAATTTATTTCATGCCATTATAATTACTTTATATATTTTATAGATTAAAAAAGGTACATTGCTAATGCCTTTATATGAATATGTAATAAGTAACTCTTTAAAGTATTAATTGAAACGTTTTTTAGAAAAAAAATTTATTTGCAAAACTTTGTTACTATAGAAGCCTATTTTTTGATGTAATATATTTTTCTTTTTTATAAAATGAAAAAAAATAAGAGGAAAAAAAAGTAGTTAATTTTATTTTAGAAAAAGAAAAAAAAAAATTTTATTACAGGTAGAAAAATTCTAACAAGAGAAAAATCTATAAAAAAAAAAAACTTGAACGTATTAATGTGTGCGCCTATTTTATTATATAAATTGGCTTATATATAAAAAACATTAAACATTATGTTTTATTAAAAAATAGTTACTTATAATAAGAACAAATATTAAGGATGATTGTTCATTTTATAAAAGTTTAATATATTCTATTTAAAAAAAAAAAAAAAGTAGTTAAGAAAAAAAAAAAGTTGAAGCACAAAATTTGTTTTTTTTTGTTATTTATATTTTAGCATAATTAAGGGTATTTAATAAAGAAGAGCTAAAATTTTAATTTTAATTTTTCCTTTTCAACTTTTTTTTGATTTTTGATTTTTTTTTTTTTTTTTTTTTAAAGATCTAATATAAAAGAAAATTTATACCTATTTTAAACCTTTGTAAATTTTCATAAAATTATAAATATTGAAGAATTTTCTTAATTTTTCTTTATTCTCTATCTTGATGAATTAAATTATATTGATAATACTAAAAAAAAAAAAAATAAAATGTAATATTTTAAATTTCCCATAATTATATAAAAGGTTAACAAAATTAACTTTTGATTTATTAAAGTGAAAAAAAAAATATTTAAATATATTATTGTGAAATTGATGAGTTAATATTTATTTATAATAGTAAGTTTACACAACGCTTATTTATAATTGTATTAATTTTGTCATTTTTTATAATTATATACGATAAAATTTATAGGAATAACATTTGCACAATTAAAATAAAATTTAAGTTTTTTACATAATTTAAAATAAACAAAAATATTATATTACGATTGTAAAATAGTAGATAAATATATCCTTTTTTTAACATCTATATTTTTGAATTCAATAATTTCCATAATATTTTTTTAAATTTACTTAATTTTAACATAGCATTTGTTGTGATTAGTGCATTATATACAACATAAAATTATAGAATATCATTTGTACAAAAAAAAAATTATTAATCATAGAAGCATTTTAAATTTAAAAATAATTTATTAAAATAAAACGATAATTTTTTTCATTTTTTATTTTTTTACTTCTATATATGCTTTTTTTTTTTTTTTTATATATACTTTTATGTAAATTTTTTTGTTACCTTGAAATTATTTTATTTTTTTTTTTTTTTTGTTTCTATTAATTTGGTTTCTATATATTCATTACTAACTTTTGTATATGTATGTATATATTTTAAAATATGCTTTAATATTTGTATACATTAAAAATTATATTTTTTTTTTTAATGACTTTTGCTTTTTAAATATTAGTATATTGCTTTGTTTGTCTTTTAAAGCTACATTTTTAGTTACTAATATTTTGTTATTAAACATTGTTTTTTATTTTTATTTTTTTGTTTTAAACTTCAAATACTTTTCTTTATTTTAAAAGCAGAGATTCTTGTTTTATTTATTTAATATTATTAATGAGTAGATTAAAAATTAGAACTTTATATTATTTTAATATAAACTTCCATATACATTTAAAAATACCTATGTACATATAATTTTCGTTTTTATATATACATTTTATAATAAATATTTTTAACTAAATGAAAATTTATAATCTCCATCTATATATATATATTTATGTGTAAAAAATTAAAATTCTTAAAATTTATAATTAATCATCTCGTTAATCTAAAATTATTTTAAGGAATTTTATTTTAAGTAATATATTGAATTATATTGAAATATATTGAAATATATATATATATATATTTACTTATAATTAAATGGAATATTTAAATTAGAAAAACACATATATTAATACAATATTTTTATGAAAAAAGTTATCTTACATATATAAAATATGTATATTACAATTAAAAAAAAATTATAAAAAACAATTTAAACCATTTATGAATATTTATATATATTATTTATCAATTATAAGAAGGAAACTTTAATATCTAGTAAACTTTTTTCTATTAAAAAAAATAAGAATTATTTTATTTAGACAACAAAACAAAAAATATTTATATATCATATAAATAATTATTCATAAAATATTTTTTTATATTAATTTATAAAAACAATTTTTTTTTTTTTTTAGTATAGTGTTTTCACGATACATATTTTATCCATTTTAATTTATTTATTTATTTATTTTATTTTTTTTTTTTTTGTAAATAAATATGTAATACACAAATTAAATATTTCTTTTATTAAAAACATATATATATTTATATATACATATATTTATTCATACAATTACAAAACTTATTATAACGCACTAATATATTTCATAATATTTTTTTATGTAAAAATCAAAATAATTTAATAAATGAATATTTATTTTATTATTTTTTTTTTTTTTTTTTTTATTTTATTACACACGATAAAAGTATAAAATAAACTTGAAAAAAAAAAAAAATTAAAAACTAAAAAAAAAACACTGAAATAGAGAGAATTTTTATTATATATAAAAAATAAATATATATATATATATATAATACATAATTTTTTTATAATTAAAATAATAGGCTCATGGAAAACTTATAATTTACTTCACCTATATATATTTTTGATGAATTTAGAAAAAGAAAATATTAAAAAAAAAAAGTTAAAACATGTAGAATAACACTGTTAAAAGAAACTTTTTATTTTCTTTATTCTTCTTATATACATTAAAAAACATAAGATATATATATGTAATAATTCATTATGTACTAAAAGAAATTTAAAACACTTCATATAATTTTTTTTTAATATATTCACTTATAAAAATATATAATATTATTTTTTATATTATATAAAATTTTAAAAAAAATTTACACATATATTTTTATTTTGTATTTTATTTATAAATTTTTAAAAAAACATTTTTTTAAATATCAACGAAAAATAAAAATCACATTATTTTTATATATTTTCCTTTTTGAACTATCTTTTTTTTTTTTTTTTTTTTTTTTTTTTTAATTTTTTTTTTTTTTTTTTTTTTTTTTTTTTTAATTTTTTTTTTTTTTTTTTTTTTTTTTTTTTTTTTAAT